TCCCTGGCCATCACAAATCAACACACCACACACAGCCACACACACACACACACACACACACACACACACACACCACACCACACACACACACCACACACACCACACACGCGCACACACACACACAGCACACACACACTACCACACACACCAACACACACACACACACACACACCACACACACACACACACACACACACACCGCGCGGCGGCGACGCGCGCGCCCGCCCATCCCATACGACAGACAGACATAGACAGACGCACACGATGTCGCAAACGTGGCGCGCTTTCCCCACGGTGTATGCGCGCAGCGCACACGAACACAGAAATCACACGCGCACAGACTTTTCACGCGCGCTCGCACGCACTTCACACACAGAACAAAAAAGACTGATTTCTGCCAAGAACAATTAATACAACTATCATTACGTTATTTCTTCATTCCTACATTACATTCTTACCATCGAGATATTTATTTGTATTAATATACTAATATATGGAATAATGAAATATCTTGTACTAGTTAAGTTATTGACGGTTTATATTCCTATAAAAGATTTTATACGGACATATAAATAAATTTATATATATAAATATAGTAATGCCAACCACCTCCATGCACTACAGCCGCGTTACACCCGTGCACCACACACATACGCGGCTTATGCGCACCGCACGCTCACGCACGCCACACGTCTTTCACATAGGCACTGACTAGGGCTCGCTGGTTTATATCGCTCTTCACTGGATGACAGCCCGCTGTCCTTCTCATCATCACATTGCTGGTCGAAGCTGTCAGGTGTCGCAAAAAATCGCCAGTGTCTGAATGCGGGACTGTTGTGCTCGTTGGCGTTGGCTTTAAGGATTTCTTCATGGCTTCTATTGATCGCAGGTGGCGTCCGACCACGACGACCATGATAGAGACAAGTGATCGTGAAAATACCTCGATACTCTGAGCCATCGTGTTATATACGAAATCACTGATTTCAGGAATTGCGTCGCCGGTTGACTGGTGATTCCCGGTCACAACGCTGGCAGCAGATGTGGACACACAAGCCCCAATATCAATATCCCTCCTCAGGCCCGTCATACCCATCCGCGGAAGCTGACGCAAGGCTGGGTTTGAAGGCGTCGTTGTTTGAGCGTCTTCATGTCTCATGGATTGCTGCTCATCGCTGATTATTGGTCCGCTCAGCATGTCAGAGATGTCGTTTACTTCGTTGGCATTAAACGTTTTATTATCTGCACCTTTACTGAGAAACTGTACCACACGATCGGTCCACATGTCAATTTCAGAGCCACCAAGTGCTGGTCCTGAAATTTCTGGATGTTTAATTGCGAAGGCCTTTTCAGTGAGAACCTGCATCATGTCCGTAGCTAAATCATTGGCAAATGATGACATCTCAACACTTCGGTTATCATACACTTGACTCTCAACAATTCTAGGCCTTCCCCTGGACTCGTAGGCGTGGGTTCTTCTAATTGTCGAATTAGCTAGAAATTCAGGGGACTCAAATGTGTTGGTTATCTCTCCATGTTGTGGATTTTTATTGGCTATTTTTTGATCGGTAACGACTTCAGTCAGTTGTTCATTGTTTATCTCGGACGGCTTTCTAAACTTCATATATTTACTGCCATAGTTTAAAAGTCTTCTAAAGAATCCCTGACGTGACGGTGATGAAGGTTTCATGTCGTTGTTGTTGTTTGTATTGCTGTCATTATTAATTACCGCATCGCATTCTAGGGACGCTACGTTCTTATCTGCAGTTGTTGGCTTCGCATCGGTTTTCTGTTTACACGTCGTAGCGCCATCTGCATGACAAGGACAGTGTTCTCGATTAAAAACAAGAAACAGCAAAGTCGCTAGTCTTGTCCTCAATAGTAGCTGAAAGTTTATAAGCTGGTTCCGGTCTCGGAAAATTACACGCTATGAGTCCATTTACCAAGAAATACACGCCAGACTCAATGATTCATGATATTATACAGTAATTATAATAATTAATATAATTTGTATTATAATTATAATGTAAGATTGTATTGTGTACATCAGTTACCTGATAGGTCAGATGTCACAGCTTTCTTTTTTGGAGGGAACTTGCGTGGAGGTTTAGGCGGAGCAATTCGTTTACCGGTAACTATATCGCGGACTTCATCGATGACGATGGTGATGTCTTCAACGGCGTCATGAGATTCACGAATAGATTCCGGTCTCGTCAAGATAGTAGCTAAACGAACATTTAACAGTATGTACGTGGCTGTTTTCAAAAAAATAATATAGTCATTTCGTCGTCAATTCAAAGATCTTGAACATACATCAGTTACCTACACATCAGTTACCTGGTCGTTCAAAAGTTTCAGCTTTCTTCTTTGGAGAAAACTTTCGGGGAGGTTTGGGTGGAGCGATCTTCTTGCGGGGAGTTGTCTCATTGACTTCATTAAGGATGGTTGTGTTGCCTTTAATAGTGGATGCTGGTTTCGTTTCTGGAAAAACAGCCGCTGATAACAACGCCAATGTCACAAACGAATACGAAATTTAGGTTTAAATAAAATGTTAATCTATTTGTCTGTTCGACTGAGATGCTACACATAATATAAGATTACAATATTACGATTGTGTAAAAATTATTGTAACCATATAAACAATCATATCAACGGACATTCATATTAAATCACTGATTATAACAACAAGTAAATGTAGTTTAATTAACTGAGGCAACAAGTTACTTGTGGTGCCGAGCGTCTCATCAACGGTAACAACTGTTGCTGGTGCAGATGGATTATCATCAACAACATGACGGACTTTATTAGTGCACGCAATAGCTTCCAACTGTGTAATTCCTGCAAAACGGATTTGATCAATTACACAATAAAACGATACCCATCTAACCATCTAATCATGCAGGGGTTCGTGAATTGTAACAAGAACTTACTATTAGAATTAATATTTTTATTCAGCTGTCCATGATGTGTCCGCAAGGTTTCTTTCCCAGCAGATATACGCCCCGGATGATGTCTTTGTGATCTAGCAGAAAGGGTTGAAGAGCTCAAGCTATTGGCACCATGCTGAACGTGACGGCCTCCTGAAATCCATACAGGTGAAACACACATCGAAGAGTGGTTAAAATATGCCTGCATGGAAACGATAATTAATGATTCCTCGGCTATATTTTAACTGTAGCTGATCTAATATCATCAAATGTTGAATTCATAAATTGCTTACCTGGTACGTATCCAGCCTTCTGCTTATGAACCGGAATCTGATTGCGAGCGAAGACTCGCCGTGTTTCATTGACTTGATAAATGCAAAGTTTCTTTGTTAATATACTTTATTGTCACGAGTAGAATCTATCTAAACATACATAGCGTCCTCGAACAGTTATAGACACATAGCTACTGTGAGGTATAGTAATACTAATAGTTAATCAGAGGTGAATACCTTATCTCAGTCGAGGCAACACAGGACGTGACACGAATGATCTTTTCAATAACAAAAAATGCATAGAATAACTTATACAGTAATTAAGAAGCTTACCATCTTTAAGATGCTCACGAGATTTTACTCTACTGATCTTTTCTACGTCCATTCTATTCGCCGAGTTGATGTGTTTCTTCGGCTGACTGCCCAGGCATCTTACGATGGACTCCAGCGCGTAAAATGGCAGACAAACAACTGCGGTGACTACGATACAGCTCACAAGGAAGGTCCAGTCCGGAGATAGTTTCCACTGCTCTTGGTCGACACCCAGCTCGCTGAGATCGATGGTATTCATCGTGATCTGGCTGAAGAAGGTAGCGCTCACGAGAAAGAAGAGGAGGTTTAACATCTCCATTCTCTGTCCTCCGATGTTGTCGAGCAGGAACAGCCAAACACAGATGTTGCTGGCTCGTGATTTTCTACGCTGATGATGTTTGGCGTCCCGCTGTAATACAGAAACGTAATAGCTTAGGCAAAAACATTAAGATGTCACATAACACATTACGTACTAGGATAAAGTAAAACATCTTGTCACTAATAATTCATAGTAAATCACATAGGTGCGCTTATTCATTATAAAAAATATGATATTCTTATGCGAAGTTAAACACAAGTTATTAATTCACCAGAAATTGCATGTGCGCTGTTATTTGTTATCAAAAAACAGGATATTGTAATGCAAATTTAAACCAAATCGTATACTTGCCCGCTGTGTTCTATTCAACATGTAAACCACGACGAGTAGTGCGGTATACAGCAGAATGAAAGCGGAGACACAGGCCAGCATAATGATGCCGCCATCCTCCAAGACCAGTTGCGGCAGGTTGAGCTGCGCAGGACGAGGCCGCGCGCTGACATGACGGTTCTCTGCAGCAGAAAAATACAACCAATATTCATGTATTTGCTATTTACGTTATGTTCATTGAAATTAGATATATCTTTGTACTTATATAATAATGATAGTATAATATCATTGTCAGTATATATATTTTTATACGCCGTATAAAGATAGAGAGAGAGAGAGAACAAGAGAGAGAACAGGATTTATTAGAGAGAGATACGGAGATTTATTAGAGAGGGATACGGAGATTTATTAGAGAGTGATGAAGGCCGTAGGCGTAGCCGTGCCTAGGCCACGTTCTTTGTTCATGCATTTCAATTTCTTTGTAGAAACAGACCGCTTTTCTACTCCTCATATAGCTCGTTGTTGCACGCTAGATTGTTCAAAGTAAAAACCTTCATATAGTGATAATATTTATGCGTCCTTGTATAGTGTCAGAAAGAGGCGAAGAACTCAAGAGAAATCGTATAAAGCATCTTGTGCTTGGTGTCTCAAGTAGTGCAGCCCTATGGGCTGTGCGTGTGAATCACGCTCTGACATCCAGAGGTGCTTGTGTCAGAAACTCACCGGACAATATGTCGTTTAGACCTTGTGTGATGGTTCTTCTAGCGTGGCCTGCCTATGCATACGGCCAGTCCATCTGTGGGAAAACGGTAAGACAAATATTTACGATACTAGATACATTTGAGTGTTTTATTTTTATGCGAAATATATGAAAAAAATATGCTAATGATATATAGATGTAAAGAATGAATATACACGGTAATTATATACGTGTGTAATACGCCTGCTTGCGCGCGTGCGCGCGTGTGTGTGTGGCTGGGTATCGGTGTGTGTGTGTGTGTGTGTGTGTGGTGTGTGTGTTGTGTGTGTATGTGCGCGCGCGCGTGTGTGTGTGTGTGTGCGTGTGTGTGTGTGTGTGTGTGTGTTTGGTGTGTGTGTGTTGTGGTGTGTGTGTTGTGTGTGTGTTTTGTGTGTGCATGTGTGTGTGTGTGTGTGTGTGTGATGCATGTGTGTGCGTGCGTGCGTGTGTTTGTGTTTGTGTTTGTGTGTACGTGCGTGTGTGTGTGCGTGCGCGCGCGTGTCTGTGTGATGCACGTGTAACCCTGTGTGCATGGAGGTGGTTTTATTATATATTTATATATATATTTTATTATATGTCGTATAAAAGCTTTTATAGGAATATAACCGTATAACTACTAGTAAAGATATTTCATTATTCTAATTATATATATGCAAATAAATATCCGATGGTAAAAATTAATGTAAATAAGAATAAGTGAATGATGGTTGTATTATTGTTCTGCAGAAATCAGTCTTGTCTTGTGTGAGGGCGTGCGAGCGCGCGTGAAATCTGTGCGCTGTGTGATTTCTGTGTGCGTGCCTGCGCGCATACCTGTGAACGCGCGCACGTTTGCGACATGTGTGCGTCGTCTATGTCTGTTTGCGTATGATGTCGCGTATGTGTGTGTGTGGTGTGTGTTGTGTGTGCGTTGCGTGTGTGCGTGCGTGCGCGCGCGTGTGTGTGTGTGTGTGTGTGTGTTGGTGATGTGGTGTGTGTGTGTGGTGTGTGAGTCTTCTCCTCTCCTCTCTCTCGCGCTCTCTTCTCTCTCTCTCTCTCTCTCTCTTCTCTCTCTCTCCGTGTCTCTCTCTCACCCTCTCTCTCTGTGTCGCTCTCTTACCTCTCTCGTGTGCGTGTCTCTCCTTTCTCCAGCTCTCGTCGTTTCTCCGCCCTGCTTTCTCTCTCCTCACTCTCTCTTGCATCTCACTCTATGGTAACTGTAGTGTGTGGTGTGAGTGTGTGTCGTTGAGTGGTGTGGTGTGTGTGTGTGTGTAGTAAATGTTGTGTGACGATCGTGTGATGCGGTCGTGACGTGCGTGATTGGATGTGAGGTGAGACCTTGGTGTAGTTGGAATTGTGGTGTGTGTGTGTGATGGGTGTGTGTGTGTGTGTGTGGTGTGAGTGTGTGTGTGAGTGTGAGCGTGTGTTGTGTGGTGTGTGTGTGTGTGTGTGTGTGTGTGTGGTGTGTGTGTGTGTGTGTGGTGCGTGTGTGTGTGAGAGAGAGAGAGAGAGAGAGTCTTTCTCGCTCGCTCTTTTTCTCTCTTTCTCTTGTTCTCTCTCATTGTTTAATTGTTGTATCTCTCTCTAAATAAATCACTCTCTAATAAATCTCCGTATCCCTCTCTAATAAATCTCCGTATCC